TGGTCGAGATCTGGAACTGCAAAAACTTGCGCACAGCATCATTGACGCAACGACCCCACATAATAGCCTTCACAATAGAAGAGAAATTGTCATCCATGAGAATGATGTCCGATGCTTCCTTGGCGACCTCAGTCCCAGCGATGCCCATGGAAAATCCGACATGAGCCGTCTTGAGAGCAGGTCCGTCGTTGGTACCATCGCCCGTGACCCCGACGACTTCTCCAATCATCTTTAGAGTCTCGACCAAGATCTTTTTGTCTTCAGGTGAGGAACGAGCCAACACTTGAAGGCGCGGGACGATTTCGATCATTTCACTCTGAGTGAGTTTGCGGAATACCGGTCCTTCCATGATGATGCCACCTTTGGTGAATATGCCGCATTGGCTAGCAATGGACCTGGCCGTCAAAACATTGTCTCCGGTACACATCTTAACTGTAACACCAGCACGATGGCATTTCAGGACAGCTTCACGCACGCCCTCACGAAGAGGATCCTCGATCCCAGTTATTCCAATCAGAGTTAGATCATTAGCGAGATCATCAAAAGAAATCTAAACGAACATATCAGCAAGACGCCAAAATGTAGAACAAAAGGAAACACTAACGTCGCCGTTTTCATCTGGTACCATTCCATGAGGAGGCCAGAATTGCAGATCCCGATAGCAAAGCGCAATGGTCCGAAGGGTCTGATTAGCATAGAAAATAATGGTGCGCCTAATATTCTCCCGAGCGTCTTCATCAATGACATCCGTTTCAACCTCGTCAGGATCAGAGTATTGTCCGTCCCTGTTGACGACAATATGACGCGTTGACTTCTTGGCAAGGATTTCACTGGCGCCCTTGAAATACACGCGGTATTTGTTATTAGGAAGTTTGACGACAACGCCCATAGATTTACGTTCGCTCGAGAACGGAATCATCTGTATGACATCTGCGGCATCGCGAGTCTCCTTAAAGTCTGGCCATCCGAGGTCTCTCGCAAATTGGAGAAGTGCGGTTTCTGTCTTGCTTCCGACAAAAACAACTTTGGAGGGATCTTCAGGGTCTTCATCTTGGAAAGCAGTGGAATTCACCGCAATGGCTTCGTTGAATAGGGTCCGAAGAGCTGGGGAGAGAATGTCGCTGAGCTGAGATTGATCAATGGAGAAGTCCAGAGATGGTTCCCGAGTAACTTCGCTATCACGCGTAGACTTTTCATTGTCAGGGGCATTGGAACGCGCGGCATTCTCGTCCAGATGGCGAACAAACTTGGCATTAATTCCGACAGAGCCGGCAACCACAGTCATCGAGTTTTGCGTAAGAGTTCCTGTTTTATCTGTGCAGATAACCGACGCATTTGCCATGGTCTCACATGAACCCAGAATACGAACGAGAAGGTTTTCATAGGTCATCCTTTTCGTAGCAAAAGCCAACGCAAGCGTAACTGCCAATGGTAAACCTGGAATTGTGTAAATACTTGCCGTTGTTAAGAGGACGAGGAAAAGACGGACCTTCAGGAACGGCAACGACAACCAAGGTGACCGCGATAATCAATATATTCACAAAAGCAATTCCTTTTTGGTTGGCATTCCTAGGATCGCCGTCAATCAAATAAATCAATTGAACAAGATAATAACATACCGTTGAGGTTCTCCGGTTCCAAGTTGGACAAAGAAGCGGATCATCAAGGCAGTAAATAAAGCAAGACCTGCCAGTGAACCAATTTTTGCGATGAGTTCAGCGAGGTCGTTGAGCTTTAACTGCAGAGGTGTGTTTTCAGTGTCACCTCGCAGGCCTGGGGTGCGCAACGTTAAAAATATTCAAAAGTAACATATAAGTGATCACGCACCCATCATAATTCGGCCATGAAAACTCCTCGTCCCAACAGCAACGACGACATATCGACCGACACCTTCCAAAACCTTGGCTCCTGACACGATGAAACAATCTGTATGGCCCGCCTCAGGATCTTGTCCGGAAGCGATGGCCTTTCGGCGAAGTTCGACAACTTCATGATAGGGAACCTTCTTAAAAGTGTCAGATTCACCTGTGGCACTTGACTCGTCGCATTTGACATTATGTCCCGAGATGAAGATCCCATCACACGGGACGACTTCACCAGGTTCGAGAAGAGCAATGTCGCCGACGACGACCTCCTGAGATAAGAAGGAAAGGTTCGAACGTGTGCCTCATGCTTATTTTGATAACGTACTTTGATATCAATGACTCTCTCCACGCCATCTCTAATAACTTTGACGCCTCGTTCCTCTTTACGTTCATTGAGAGCTTTGAATTGTCGCTCCTTCTGCCAGTCATTGACAGAACCGACGATAACCTAGCATGCTAAGTATGAGACTAGTAAGTGGTGTTGAAAACAATTAAGATACACACGACTATAGCAATCGCAATCATAATCGCAACGCCTTCAACCCAGTCAACGGGAGGTTCGCCTGGTGGTCGTGGAGTACCGAAATCTTGGAAGAATCCCAAAGCCAAGGACACTACAGCTGCTATTGATAACAATATCTATTCATTTAAAAAATGAGGAAATTAGGAAACCGAAAGTTCAAAAATGACGTACCAGAACCTTGTCCTTCAAAGCAAGCCACATAAGTTGAAGCAATGTCTTGCTGACGCGCATGGGCAGAATATTCTCCCCAAAAACCTTTCTCCGGTCTTCCAAAGTTGCGCCATAAACGTGATCATCGCTCATTGGAGGCGCAAGTTTCCCATTTGGTTTAGTCAAGACAATTTCAGGTAGGTCCTCTTTCATCTCTGTGCTAGATTTGCCATTCTTTTCTGAATCATGCCTATGAGAAGCGCCAAGACCAGCACCGCGCTCCCCCCTTTCTAGCGACGCGTCTTTTGTTGAAAGACCGTGTTCTGCGTTTGACCCGAGGCCACGCAGTAAGCCGTCTATGCCACCAAGGGACACCAATGTGTCCAGACTTTTGGGATCTAGCATATACGCCAGGCGATTCGGCTTGAAATGGAAGGGGGTCGGATCAATGCCTTCATCCTGAGGGAGTTCAGCCTCATGAGCTGCTGTTTGGTGTTGTCCGGGGTTTTCGCCATTATGTTTATCCTCCGCCAGCTTATGACTCTCTGTCCTCTTTTTATCATCAGCCTCGTCAGCAGTATGCGAGTCACTAACGGAAGGAGGATAATAGTCAACATGTGTGACAGAAGTTGTCGTTGAGGGAACGTGCCGAAGGTCATGTTCTACATCGGTCATGGAAGTGGCGACACTGCCTTTGCGACGATGAGAAGATATGCCGCCTGGTTCGAGAAGGCCTAATGATGAAAGACCGGACTTGTCTTCAGGCCTATTCTCGCGCAGTTGGAGAGAGGAGGGAAACTGGGCATTGTCAGAATAAGTTGAAAGGGTGGGTGATGGAGGGACAGAGCCGGTCTCAGAAATATAAGAAGGGGCAGGGGATGCAGGACCATAGGCATTAGGACTATGGGGCGAAAGCAGACCAGAGGTTGGGGAGGGTAGCGACGAGGGCACGTGGATGGTGCTGGGGTCGGGGGGAAGTTCAATGGTGATGTTGATGGAGGGAATACTGGATGGGCCCTCTAAGTCGTCTCCACCAGGCATGACAGGCGAAGAAGAGAAACAGAGAAATGTTGTGTCAAACACACTATAAGTATACTGCCCCACCCTGCCAAGCAAGCACAGCCTTAGGCCGATATATAGGCTCAGGTTTAGCAGCCGGTACTCTTGGAGTCTTCTCCGTCGATTCCTCCGTCGCTGTGTCTGCTAATCGACTTGGCGGCTATGTTGTCTGTCCTCCTGGTATGAGGGTCGCTACAAGAATCGATGCGGGGCGGCGGGATTTCAACCAGAACCCTACCGCATTTGGAAAGGGAGTAAACAAGGCCATTTAGTCTGTCTTTCTCCATCCATACGCCGCGAGTACATTCATCCTCCATATCACACGCCTCCCAAACTATGACCACTGCTGTTGCCCAAGGCCGTACTGCGGTTTTCCCATTGCCCGGGAATTTGTCTACCTCGTCACGCTCAAGGAGCATATTACATCATGTCCATTTCCTCACCCCAGTCTTTGCATACCTGTAGATCCCTTTTGAGTGCAGATTCTCCTGCGCCATGCTCCTTCACTCCTTGCTGGTAGGCTCTGTTGGCCACACTTGTCCCATGCTTCTACAGCCCATCTTTCATTTTCATGTGGAACTGTATTGTCCAGCTCTGCCAGCTGGCTAGCTCCTGGCTTCTGGACCCTTAAAAATTCCTTGTCTTCCAGAACCCGTAATCCGTACTGGTGCCGTTCCGCCAGATATATTCAGAATGTGCTCTGCCATCACGAGGCTCTACGAAACCCTTCCATAATTACTCATTGCTCTCTGCAAACCTGCGGATCCACTTTTGGAACAAGGCTGTGCGCCCTGTGAGTCTCTGACTGTGTACATGTGTTCAAACCGTCTTGAGTTGCTTTCCAAGAAGCTTGGAATTATCTGTGCCACGCCCTGCAATCGGACAGATGGCCTTTCCCAGCAACGTTGCTTGTGAAGACGGACTTGGCAGAAGGAGTGAATGGATAGGTTAATCGCTATCTTTTGCGGAACGTGTTCCTGCTACGTCTGCTTAAATAAGTGCAAATCTTAACTCATTTGGTACTTTTCTTGGTTTATAGTACCTATAGATATATAATCTGCTTATTCTTGGTTGTGCAAATTCAATCTTCACCCTTTTGCCTTTCTTGAGGACGGATTAACTTATCACTGAGTGAATCCAAAAGAATCTGTATGGCTGGATTTAAAGGGAGAGCATTCAGACAAATTCAAAGTGAAACGTTCTTGCATATAGAATGGACTGTATACATAGACGTGTTTTCATTTTTATATGGGTCTCTTCCTTTTTTTTTGGAGTCCCAGTCACTGTGACGTGGACGTAGTTAAAGATAAGTATATAGTGAAGAAAAAAAGAAAAAGAGGATTATCCTATGTGTGAATTGAAGCTCAGCAATTGCAAATTGCAGATCAGTATGATTCTAAAAACGATGGATGCGAGACTCGAACTCGCAATCTTTAGCTGGTGCTCCACCGGAAACTAACGCGTTGCCATTACGCCAATCCACCGACGACCAGAATGTCGGTAGAGCTTGAAAAGCTCTCGGATCCCCTATTGAATCTGTGTTTTCATTTGAGAATATATTTTTTGAATTGATCGCGGACATCATAGCAGAACCCGGACTGTGCAAAAGGCGGTCCTTCAGTCATTCTCCATATAACTTAAAGAGACTCATGCACTGTTAGGCTTGACCCAGCGCTGCATAATTCGGTTCTTAAATTAAACTGATGATTTCGTAGCCACTTCTCCTTGACATTAAGTACATGTAGCACGTTCACATTCGATATTATTAGAGCGGGCCTCCGCGTCCGTTCTTAGAATACGCTGCGCATTGACTGCTCTAAATAAATTCCTGTCTGTCTACAATAGCATCGCCTTCGGTTTCACAATCCCACAATCCCAATCCTAGTTGCTTCATTTTCAGGACTAGGAGGTAGATCCCAGGTCTTTAAGGGCGTGCTTTATTGTAAAGGTTCCATTCGATTTTGATCACGCACAAGTAGCTTAGTAAACTCTGTATCATTCTTCTCCGATAAAATTTCACAACAAGCATGGATCCCTTGGTCAGAGATCATCGAAGCATTTTCTCTTGGTACAAAGAGGGTCGCAATGTTTTTTTGCCAAGGCTGCATAAACCTTCTTGGCTGGCAGCGATTTAGCCGGAAGAATTGAACCGCCTTTCTTGGCTATCAACAAGACACAAGACTGTGCCAATCACTGCGTACTTGAATAATTCACCAGCCAGGATTTTCGATTAAATTACTTCTGGCAGTGGATGTGATGCTAAATCGATGACATGTTGAGGCGCTGATGATGGTCCTGTCTGATGGGCGCTTAATTGGGCGGCATGTTCCGATTCCGCGTACTTTGCAAGCTCGCTTATGAAGGAAACAGTTATCCACACCCTCAGGAGTTGTATCCTAGTCTATACCAGTAGATGGTGTACGTATCTCTATGCAACAAATGGCCTCTGCGCACCACATACTCCTGGCATACTGCATCTAAGTGACTTATTGTCTATTATTTCGGGATGGTGCCCGCATTACCGTCAGCCCGTCTGACTTGTTAAAGAATAAACTGATACCAATAAATTCACTGTCGCAAGCACTTATCTTCAGTTTTGCCTCGATTGGCCGACATTTAATTTAGTCGGTTATTATATAAATCCTTATTACACAGGGTTACTTTCAGGATTCAACTCGTCGATCTTTACGATCACTCAGCGAAATCCTACCTACAAAGGGAAAGCGGCATTCACAATGCGCAGCCATGCGAATTGGGGTGGCACTTTTCTTTTGGAGGACAAACTCCTACTTGGTATATGACATGTTTCCAGGGGTTCTTGAGTTGACCGTTGCGGTTAGTTGATTTTATGATTCGGAGTACTATGCCGTGGAATTGAAAGCATCGTCTCTGAATCGCCCCTTGGCACAGTTATAATCGCCGAGGCATCATCTTATGATTTATTAAAGCCGATCGATGTATTGGTTTCTGCTTCACTCAGCTCAAGTTTTTGAAGGAAGATGAGGATCGTCATATATGGTTTCAGAAGTTGAAGGTAACTGCAGTATTCTTAAGATCGCTTAATCAGTCTCAAGTCCGCATTTTGCATCAGCTGGACAAGGATAAGGATCTTTTATACTCATATATTTGCCTGTGCATAAGGCAGAAATTGTCACTGACCTGGTCTATGTCTCATCCACATGTTCCCTCAGGCCTAGTAGCACACTAACATACGGCGTTCCGTACGGGAGGTGGGATTTCTTTCACTTATGACCATCAGTTTGAACTATTTTACTTAATATCATTAATGTCAATGTGCGCCACTGGGAGACGCCGTCATTGGGTTTGACTTTGGAAGCCAAAGTGGAACGTTAGAAATCTAGTACCGCTTCGACTTACATATATCGCACGCATTTCTACAGTCCCATCCCCACGTTCCCGGAACTATCGTTGACAAGCAAGGCTGTGCGTATTCTACATGCCTTATCCAATTTCGATCTGTGCGGTCCGGTGTTAATTTCTTTGAAGCTACTATATTCGACCAAAACATGAGAACCACATACTGAAAGCGCTGTTTCGGAGTTGGCCTAGAAGGTTAGCGGGAGACGACGGAGGTCGCCAAGCAGGACCTTAATCAGGCAATCATAATACCTAATTGGGAATGCCGCCGTTGGCATCCCGATGATGAGCGGCATTCTAAATTTGTACGTATGTGAATCCAGGATTCTGTCAACAAAGCATATATAAAGGACAATGCTACGGCTATTTAACCCTCCGTGGCAAGAGACATGGAATCGAGATTTGCATCAAACTTGCATTGCGGAAAATTTCCGCTCGGTCTGAACGGATGCGCTTCTGAATCGGATCGGCATTTGAAAGCCGTTAAGTCCCACTAAATAAGTACTGTACATTTTGAATCAAATAATGGACACGATACAAGTAACTGGAAAATATGATATATGTTCCTAGTTGGCATGCACAAATGCTATTAATACCCTCCAAAATAATAGAGCATAGACTGTAACCTCGACAGCAGCCAAACCAAGTTGTCAACTACGTGACGAGCATGTACACTGGGGCCCTGGCAAGTTATGCCGAAGTCGAAGTCGAAAATGGGAGGCAGAGATATTATACATCTACGCGGCGTGAATAAGAACCCTTCTTCTAAAAGCTAGAACAATAAGTAGCATCCAGACATCGTTCTTCTAGTCGTCAGATCATATACATGCATAGTGCTTCTTCTTTATACTGTTGGTGATACAGACCCATTTACAATGACAGACCCTGAGCCGGCGGTATCTCCAGGTTTCACCTGCAATTCGGCTTGTCCTTCTTTGGACGTATCGGCGGCCTCGATCTTGCTCATCTCCTTGATGAAACTGCTGCCCCAGAAAGCAGCGCTGTACTTGTTCACATACTTGAAAAGTTTGCGATGGTTCTCTGCGCGTACTGAAGCGTCCATGGTGACGGCCTCATGAATAGCATCGGCCACCTGCTGAGAGTCCCAGGGATTAACGACGATGGATCCATTTAGACTCTGAGCAGCGCCAGCAAATTCAGAAAGGATCATGACACCTTGACGCGCTTGTTGGCATGCAACATATTCGTAGGATACCTGGATTGAAGACACCTCAGTAAAGTTCGATAATCATATTACAGATATTACGCACCAGGTTCATTCCATCTCGGGTGCTGGAGACGAGACAAACATCGCTGACGGCGTAAAGGGCACATAATTCATCGAAAGGCAAACTCTTGTGCATGAAATGAATGGGCATGAATTCCACTGTGCCAAAACGTCCGTTGATGCGGCCAACGAGTTCATTCACGGTGGACCTCAAGTTTTGGTATTCTTCGACGTCTTGGCGTGATGGAACGGCCAACTGAACAAGTACCACCTGCGGAGAGACGTCTTAAGCAAAGTACTTAACGATGATCGTGTTTATGAAACGAACCTTGCCAATCCATTCGGGATGTTGCGTGAGGAAGAGCTCAAGCGCGTGCAATTTTTGAGGAACACCTTTGATATAGTCAAGGCGATCAACACCAACAATTACTTTCACACCACCAAAGCGTTGTTCGAGTTGTTTGACGCGGTCGATCACAGACGGCTTTTTCAGGTTCTATGTAGGAAAAGGTGAAACGATTTGTAAAAACGTAGCAGACAAGATGCGCACCTCGATGAAGCTGCTGGGTTCAATTCCAATAGGGAAGGTTCCCACGTGAGCTAATCTACCCTCGAATTCGACGCCATTGGGCATTGTAGGCAAGCCCAGGATGCGTGTACAGGATGACAGGAAATGACGAGCATAATCGTAAGTGTGGAAACCGATGAGATCACAGTAAAGGACGCCAAGCAGAATCTCTCTCCGTACGGGCAGAATCCTAGCCACACGATTAGGGACCTCGGAAGGACAGAATGTCACATTTCGTACCTGTAAATCTCGCTACTAGGGAAGGGAGTGTGGAGAAAGAAGCCGATTTTGACGCCAGGGGTTGGGGTTTGGGGGGTGGACAGAGCGGTAATATCGATACCTTCAGTAATCCTGGCTAACTCGCCACGAGTAAAGGTGCCGACATTTTTACCGCCATCCAGGATACCGCGGAGGAGCATGGGGAGGAGCATAAGGTGGTAATCCTGAACCCAGACCATAGCACCTGGAGAAATTTGTTGACGAACGGCTTCAGCGAACTGCATATTGGCCTGACGATATGCAAGCCAATTCTCTTCATCAAAGTTCATTTCACCAGGGTGATAGTGGAAGAGGGGCCAGAGGATGGAATTTGAGAAACCGTTGTAGTGGCGGTCAGCTACGTCATCGTCGAGGTAAACGGCTTGACATGAGTACTCCTCCATAAGGCGCTTGTCTACGAGAGGACGATCTTTGGGAGGGATGAAAAAGCCGGGCCAGCCGATCCATGTAAAGTTGAGCGACTTTTTGAAACCAGAGAGGGCGGAGACGAGACCGCCGGAAGACATTTTGAAGTGGTACTCGCCATTAGCATCTTTGCTTATGGTGATTGGAAGACGGTTGGAGACGACGATGAGATGGCCACCTTTTCCGGACTCCATTGTAGGCTGATCTTGGGGGACAGAGGAGGACATGGGTGAATATATAAGAAAGAGCAGAGGGGTGAAAAGCGAGCAGGAAGAGCCAGATTGGGAAAAGATAATCGGATCCGTAAGGGAGGGACCGGGAGTCAGTTGATCTTCTGCATAATATCTATCCTTGTCTAGGTCGCAATAGCTTCACAACTTCCTGACATCATCGGTAACAAAATCTTTATTGCCAGCTACATCACAACTACATACTCCGTCATTTCTCCGCAGCTCTACTTTTAGTCGAACAATCCGAAGCCCTGTATCACCAACGTGCATCAGTATTCCATCCGTCTTCCCGATTATTCCACATACCATGTCGTCGTCCGATTCTTCCTTCTCTTCGGCCTTCTCCTCCTCGGCAGCGGCGGCGGCAGGGGCAGCCTCTGCAGCCGCAGGAGCAGC